CAATCTCTAAAATGTTTCTGCGAAGTAAAAAGTGAGGTTAAAGATGAGTAATCAAAGCATTTACCATATAGGAGCGTTCATGTAGAGTTATGAGTGTGGACTTCTACTGCTCTTCGTATTTTTTATAGTACGAGCTGAGGTCTGCGCCGATGTCGAAGGAAACAAATTTTAAATCAAATTATTTACACTATTACTTCAACCATAAAAGACTAGGACAACTTCGATACAAATGATATTTCAACGTATTATTTTTTGGGGTCAAACTCCACGTATTTTTAAATTAATAATAATTTTTTCTAGGTAAACACACCCAAGAGATTGACACCATAACTCAATTTACATTATGTCGATATGAAGAGTAATGAAGACTTGATTCTCAATGTTAAAGGTTTGAAAGGCAAACAAAACACATCACATTTGAACTAGATCTCGCTTAAAATAGATTTGAAACAAAAGGCTTTTCCTCCTTATCCTTCATTTCATTCTGAAGCAAACGTTTTTACTCTACAGATTGATAGTTTATACAACTATATCGAGTTACCTGCAAAAGCGGTTAAATGCATTCACCTACTTTTGAATTTCCAATTGCTTCTCATGTGCATTAAGGATATCAAGTGATGTATATTGTAGGAGGGTTTCAAAGGAGTAAATCGTAAGCCGTAAAATGGCCAAAAAATTTAGCTGGTAGCCGTAAAAATTGACAAATTTTAACCAAGTGATAGTCATAAAAAAAAATTAAACGTTAAAAAATTCCAGTCTGGTGACAACAATGGAATGATATATAAACCGTTAGCCGCTGAGATGGCCACAATTTTAGCCTTTGCCGCAAAAGCCATCAACCGCAAGTGAGCGTTCTCGTTTTCGCAAACCAAACAAATCAGTTCATAGTTCATGACCATAAAGTAACAAAAAAGGAAATAAATCTGAATGAGCAAGAGGAAGGTGAGGCTTAAGTTTAGACAGTGTTTCAGCGGTGCAGGTCGTGATTGGTTCAAGTTATTTATGTCAAGCTCGTGAAGGAGATGATATGATTCCTTTCACCTAAGTTCGATGCAAAGTGAGGGGGAATCTACTTTTGAACTTTTACTGAAACCTACCGTCACATCTAATTACAATGCGAAACCAAGTGACAAGGACCAAGAAGTCGAGAAAAAGAGAATTCTATTCAGAAGCGTTTTCGTGTTATCGTGATAATTAAATCGCTCGATAGATGTAAAAGTCCCACTAAATACGATTTGAGGCTAACTAAGTATTTTAGAACGTAAGAGAAAGTTTGATGCAAACCAGGAGGATCAATATACTGAGAGACGCAACATTTCAACTTAATTGTTTATTTCTAGGCAGTTTCGGTAATTTTCAAATAATTTCCGGTATCATTTTCAAATTCTAAAGACGACTTGGAAATAATTTTTTTCGCAAAGCTCCTTTAGGAAACTATGTTAAAAACTAGGAAGAGTAAGGTTGTTTCGGCATAGGTTTGTATGGGGTTAGCTTTTACAGGCGCGGTATGTCACACTTTCCCCTGATTCCTCCATGTTCCTGCCACATACGTATCTCACACGGCGAGTTGACTTTTTACATTTACAGAATCATGAAGGCAATTTGCATCGGCTTCACGTTGTCTCTTATGTTAACTCTGGTCCAGAAAGGTCTTTGCTTTGACGAAGGAGGGGCCAATATAGAACACCAGTGGAGTGAAGGATTCATTGGCAAATTCAGTATCACCCCCGGGCCAACGTTAAGCAATGGTTGGAACATGATCGTTACATTTTCTCAACCAATCAAGATACTCGAAGTATGGCAGGCGAAGATTCAGATGCAAAACAAACAGAATACCGTATTTGTGTTAGAAAACCAGTCGTGGAATACACTTCTTGAAGAAGGAAAGAAATTTGAGTTCAACTTTAAGGCAACGAAAAGAGGCCGTGGAAACCCTCATGTGGTAGAAGTCGCTGTTGGGCGCACAGAGCACTTGAAGGGATTGTCTTGTTGAAATTAACTAAACGTTGCAGTCATATCAGTTTGCAGTTACAGGCGATGGCATATGTTTAAGTTTTTCCCTCGAAATATCGGTTATTTTGTATTGGGACTATTTGTTTTAAAGTTGATGCATTGATTGTTCATAATGATTAACAGAGTTTCAATTTTGTCTTCATCAAAATTGATAGGTGAAGAAATAAATGAGCAAATAAATAAAAGTAAAATTGAATGGATAATAGGGATGAAATAGTAATTAAAGGGAGTTTCCTTAAATTTTAATAAAAATACCAAATGTATAATTAACTGCATCAATGTTCAAGAATCGGGAGTAAATGAAAGAATACCGGAATAGGCCGGAATAAAAGTGCAAATAGATAAATGTATAAAGAAATGTATGTTTGAACCTTATGCCTATAAATTGTACGCCTTTGCTTTTCCACCGTGATCACCGTTTTTAACTTTTTTCATATATATTTTCATTTACTTATTTTTTTTTCTAACATATATATATATAAATATATAAACTTCGGGCAACATTTGTCGTAAACTTTTGACAAAAAACTCAACCCCTATTTTAGAAGAAAGTGGAATCCTACATTTAACAAGAGTATTTTCCACCAATTTTAGAGAGTTTGAATTGATAAAGCTCTGACCCTTCATATATCGGAGTCCAATTCATCATTAAATAAAAACATTCAATGCTTTTTCACAAAAACGAAAACCGATTTCAAACGGATTTCTTTTTGGTTTTTTTTCTTTTGGCTTTTTAAAACGTTTGACTCTTTATTTGTGTTAATGCACACTCGTAGCAAAGATGCCAGAAAGCAATATCAATGATGTAAAATTGAAAATTTATCGAAAAGAACAGTCTCATCGTAAAAGCAGGTATTCGAGTGGGAAGGATTAATTTAAAAAAAAGCTCTTGCTGAGTCTGTTACTCCTGTCCTACGAGGTGCGGCGATCTGGCATGCGTCCACGTAACAGCCGAGTCATGTTAGAAAGGATTCGGCACTAAGCGACAACATGCAGAACGGCTGGCGGAGACAAAACTGTAGGATGGTAAAAAATCATTCCGTGATCTATGAGTCTTTCCCATCGGTTCCTGTGTAAAAACTGGATCCACATACGACCACATACGTTCCACTAAGACAACGAATTAGTCTGGTTTCAACATAGCAAACAAGATGTTCATGCAAATTGCTTGTCGATATGGAAGATTTACTACACAAATATGGCGGTTAAAGATATTGATTTCAACCACACTTGCTTTTTTATGTATTAAAAGATAATCATAAAAAACAACACAGCAAGCCGATTATGGACGCCAAAGGAGGTAAACCAATGCGAAATAAAAAAAAAGCCAGTAATAAGTTAGTAAACGTCAATCGGGTGGATGGATGGATGGATGGAAGGGAGTATGGCCAAATAAATAAGAAGATTAGAGACTTTATTCAAATACTCTTTGGTGCATACTGAACGAGTAGACATAGTACCGTCGCTAAAAATTTCTTCAAGCTCTTTCTCGCTTCCCATAGCCATCCCATGATTTCATTTTGCCAAAGGTTTACATAAGCGTGTTGTATGTCAGTTGCGTAGATGTATAAAAGCTCTGGGAGTGGACGTGCTGTGTTTGTCAAACTGCCGAAGAAGACATTGAACACTGCACAATATGAAAACTCTGTCATTAACAACACAAACGAAGTATTGAAGCCAATTTGTGAATAGAATGCCTATTACGATGGTAGTGGCAGATGTCTAAACATCTTTTGACGAATTCCAATAACTTATTTGTTGAGCTGCGCTATCGTCGGGGAGTTGTGACAATGAGGTATTGGAATTAAATGCTGAGGGTACATATAACCCGGTGGAATACGTGCCACCAACCAATTCAGGGTCCGTTCAACAACTAATTGTGAGAAGGTGAGTGCCTCTGTTTGGTATGAATAGTAATATAAAAAGAAAATGTTGCGCTTTCATATGAATGTTGCGAAAAAAAGAGAGAAAAACATTAAGTTCTTTCAAGCCGATGAAATGATATAAATTCAGTGAGACGCAGGAGAGGAGTACTTGATTTTGAAACTGGTCTAGATCTGATAATGTAATCAATGCTCTACATTCTTATGATTTAATTACAATTTTAAGATTTTTTATCACCAATGGCAGTTTGAAAATTTTGGTTTACGTTCACATTGTATTTTACTTCGCCTGCCTTTTAAACAATTCATGTCACAAATTGTTGAATGGCTGACTCGCACATGGAGTGACACGGAAATCATTGCCTACAGTAACTCCATAATTCACCTCTCGTTCCGACTTTTTACTTAATTCTATGGCAGAATATATATAGCTCTATAATATATATAGAGTGTTTTTATAACCTATCCGCAATCAAGACTTCTTATGTATCTAGTTCCTGTTAAGACTGAAATTAAGCATAAGTTGAGCATTGTAACACGCGGTTCATTTTAATCCAAAAAGTTTCTTATAACAATATCGCACCCGGTCAATTCTAATAACTATATATTCTGGCGGCATTATTAAGTGGCTAACTTTGATAACAATGAGCTTTGTTAAACGATCTGAAAATGATCGATCCTATATTCACAAACCTTAGTGTAAACTTCAGTTTATACAACAACATTGCGCAGAAAGATATCAAGTCTTCCTGAAGCAATGAATAATACTCCATGTAAAGTGAATAGAGTCTGAAAGTGGACTAATACATCTAAAGTCAACTGCACGCTCAATCTACGACATTTCCGCTGCGCTTCTAACTAAAATGAGTGTTTCCCACTTAAAATATTGTGAATGTCTGAAGCAAACCGCATCAGTTCCGTCGCTTTTCTGGTATATCGCTTAGCAATCAAGTCAAAAAAGGAAAAAACCGACTCTTACTTTCCAAACAAGGGAAAAGAAAAAATGGAGCTAATTTAGGCGCATATCAATGCGGTTAATGCAATACTTAATCGTTGAAGTGTCTTTCGTGATGTGACATATTTAATAACTTGGGCAGCGTTCACTTCTCTGACTATAAGTCAAGTTGGCATTTTTCGTTCAAATTTCGTTCATTTGTTGATAGATATTCACACCATGTCGTTGTTACGCTCGGTTATTCCGCTGTCGATTCTTGTGCTGCTTCACGCTCCTAAAGCATTCGGTGAACAAGCTAAAACCGTAGTTGTTGACAAATGGTACGACGGATTCAAGGGATTAATTACTCTGGACCTCACGGATGATGTTACCTCTGGGTGGACCTTGACTTTGTCTTTTCCAGTTCCTACTCCGAATTTGGAAATTTGGCGAGCAGAGATAGTTGACAACCAAGGCGATAAAGTATATACAATGAAGAATATGCCATGGAATACACAAATGTCTAAAGGAACCTTCAAGTTGTATTTCATCGCCAAAAAGTCTGACGTAACAAAGGATCCTCCTATTGGCGCCGTCATGTTTAGTCGCGGTGCACCAATAACCAACCAACCGCCCACTGCTAGCCCGAGTCCTCCTCCGCCAGCGACGAAACCGCCCAGTTCATCTCCTGGCCCTGACACCACTCGACCTACGCAGCCGCCGCAAACCACTGCACCTCCTTCGCTAACACAATCGCCGTCTCGGGGGCCCGGAAAGTATGACTACAGTGAAGTGCTGAAACTTTCCATCTTGTTCTACGAAGCTCAGCGATCTGGCAAGCTTCCACCTAACAACCGAGTCAAGTGGAGAAAGGACTCGGCACTAGGTGACAAAGGGCCGAACGGTGAAGACTTAACCGGTGGATGGTATGACGCGGGTGATTACGTTAAGTTTGGTTTTCCGATGGCATCATCTGTCACAGTGTTAGCCTGGGGTATTGTGGAATACAAGGAGGCTTATGTAGCTGCTGGCCAGTACAGCAACGTGTTAGATAGCATCAAGTGGGCCACGGACTATTTCATAAAAGCTCACACGAAAAAAGAAGAATTCTATGGTCAGGTAATAGGGTTAACAGCTATACTTGTTTTTGCATTTTCCGTCTAGATAACTTACTCAAAAGTTAAGTGTAATAACTGAATCGCTTTGGCGAAGGGGTAAAGCTCGAAATGTCAGCTCTAGAAACTCTTAACGGTGGTCGATCACGTAGCACTACAAATTCTTAGAAACCTACCCTGTTTATTCATTTGTATTAATGTTTGCCTGATCTTCGTCTAATGTTGATTTAAGAAACTGATATCTTACCGCCACCTCACAGCATCTCTCTCGTTGCCATATTTTTAGTGCTGGGTTACTGGCAAGAAACTAATCATCGACAGATATATGTGAGAATAATATAGTTTTTTGACTCATCAGAAAAAATGCTGAAAGTTGTCTTTTGAACGTGAAATCTTTATGAACAAATTAGGTTGGAGATGGAGATCTTGACCACGCTTTTTGGGGCAGACCTGAAGACATGACCATGAGGCGACCCGCCTGGAAGATCACTCCACAAAATCCTGGATCCGATCTCGCAGCTGAAACTGCAGCAGCACTGGCCGCTGCATCGATTGCCTTCAAAGCTCAAAATACTCGGTAAGTTATAGACAAGCAAAAATGCCTACTACTCTTGGTATATCGTAACTTCAGCTAAATTATTATACCGACAGTATCCGTCCTTTTAATTCCCTCTCCCGCTTTCGAAACTGAGCATATCCCGGTCTTGCCTTCCTAGTTTCATCCTGCATCTCGCCTTTGGAATTTTTCGTAACCCACATCCCACTTCGATTTTAAGCCTCATCCCGCATCCCGCCAAACCTGTGTTGGAACCTCATATCAGTCGTACTCAACATAAATGGTCTCTCCGGTAATATTGCTTTATGTTTCACAACTTTTACTTAACTGCTCTAAAATAAACTTGGTACTTGGGTCCCCAGAAAACGAACCAGAAGCTGCCTTCGATTCTCACGAACATCTTTATGCTGGTTGACTACTAACTTTTGAGACAATTTGATTTTCAGTGCCTCTAAGAAGTATGCTAGGAAACTTTTAACGCACTCAAAGCAACTGTACGCGTTTGCAGACAAGTATCGTGGAGTATACAGTGATTCCATTCCCAACGCAGGGAAATTCTACAAATCCTACAGCGGGTTTCAGGACGAGTTAGTGTGGGGTGCAGCTTGGTTGTACAGAGCGACAAAGGAGTCTTCATATCTTGTGAAGGCTGAGAAGTACTATAAGGATTATGGGATGGATGGTCAGGTATGTTGAGAGTTATAGGTCTTCTGAGATACAATTATACTGAAGGGAATTTTTGTGAAACACAAGACTACAAATCGTTGTAAATCATAATTCAGTTCTATCTTTTCTTCTCGCGTCATACCTTCACATCCTGACTAAGATTGGACGATCTTACTTTTTCCCTTTACGTGCGATTGTCGATAATACAAAGGAAAATGTTTTGAGACTTTTTGTCCACACAATGCGCTTCAAGGCTTTGGTATCTTTATCAAAAAAGTATAACGCTCACAGATAAGTGCGGTGCTTAGAGATGAAAAAATCTAAAAGTGGCTTGCTAAATGCGAAGTTTGCCGGTTTTTTAAAAATGTTTTCCTTCTATTATTGCAGGTGTAGGCTTTTTTATCAACCACACGTAAAAGGCTCTTTCGCTTAAAAATTAAAATTTAATCCCTCTTTTTCTCCCTTACAGGCCTGGGCATTTTCTTGGGACGATAAAAAAGCCGGGGTACAGTTGCTGCTCGCTCAGTTGACGAAAAAAGAATCCTACAAAAACGCCATTAAAGCATCTCTCGACAACTGGCTTCCCGGAGGTAGTGTCCGTTACACTCCCAAGGGCCTTGCATGGCGTATCAAATGGGGCTCGAACCGATATGCAGCCAATACAGCTTTCCTGGCGCTGGTTGCCGCTGATCAGGGTCTAAAGCGAACAGCTTATCGCAATTTCGCAAAGAAACAAATTAATTACATGCTTGGAGACAGTGGACGCAGCTTCGTGGTTGGGTTCGGAAAAAATCCGCCACGAAGACCACATCACAGCTCCAGCTCCTGCCCGTCCGCTCCACAGCCATGCGGTTGGGATAACTTCAACGCGGATATACCCAATGCGCATGTTCTAAAAGGTGCATTAGTTGGGGGTCCCGACGAGAATGACAACTACAAGGACGACAGAAAAGACTACGTCATGAATGAAGTCACTACTGACTACAACGCTGGTTTCCAGTCTTCTGTCTCGGGTCTAAAACAGCTGGAGCTGTAATAGTCCAACGGAAATATGAAGTTTTTTCAAAGAGCTTAAGACTTAAGAAGTCTTTTGATTTCATGCTGTTTGTAGTTGTGCCTGAAATACTTTAATAAAATATCCTAAATGATTACGAAGTTCACTCGTAAATGACACTAGCAATTAACACAATCCTTTCATTGTGAAAACGCAATTTAAAAAGAGATTTTCACAATATTAAAAGTTGCCTGAATATTTACTTATCTCGTCTACGGTACAATGAAACTCCACGTCTACGATAAAGTTCTAGAAAGAAAAGTACGCCGGAAGCGATATATCAAGCGTCTCACGAAGTAATACGTTAGATCAGCTGTCGGCGGTGGATACGGCAAACTTATGAAACTAAGAGTGCAATAACATTTGTTTTAATTTTCGAAAGGGCTACTGGTGGCACAGTCTCCTGAGGTTAATGGCTTTCTGAGGTAGGACACAAACTCAAAGTAGCAAATAATCTTTTATTTTCAAACTAAAGAAAAGAGCTTTTCTGATCTGCTCTGCTCTGAAGTATTAAGAAAACGAAGTAACTTTAGATTCGACGGGCTGAGAAGAATATTGGAAAAAAAATTATTATTTCTTCCCCGAAAAAAATAGGGAATGAAGGAATTGCGACGTAACACAAATTCGACTGTCGGGGGGATGCAACGCGATAAAGAACTGATCCATTTAGACTATGAATTCAAATCGAAGCATCAACGTATGGGGAGATCTACAACAAAATTTCTTCAAACGAGCCAGTGTTTCTATATTTTGCCTATCAGACCAAGAAAGGCTGCAGTTAAGGCTTGCACCTAAGAATAACTGCGAGCCAAGTCATACTTTTTGATTAAGAGGTATAATGAAATGATCATGCGAGCGTTCAGGCTTCCGCTGGGTTCACCAATATATTTTAGGCATGTTGCGCCAAAGAAGCTACATGTTGAGAGTGAGTATAGTCCCTCTTCACCCGTTGTGAGTTAATTCAGTAATTTACATGAGAAAATGTTGCACACTTTTTTTATTAACCGAGGCTTGAGTTGAGTATTGTGACGAACAGTTCTATTTCAGCGTATTATCAATGTTGGATAGATCAACTAAGAGAAAGTGACAGTATAAATAGTAAATCTAAAGAAAAAGAACATTTTTCTGGGATTTTTTTTATTTGCGAGTTCGGTCGCCATTAACGACAAATAAAAGCTAGTTTTTAGATAAAGGATGTCCAGCCGGTTATTTACTTTTGTTCGGAAAAAAAACTCCAGGTTTAGGAAGATAACTCCCAATTCAAATGTATCGCCGGGTGCTTCTTGAACCTTCCCGCTTCCGTTATTTCATACCACCCTCTTCCCAGCCAAGACTTCTGTGCCTCCTTTGAGTGGAAGTTTTCCATAACTTTTGTGATGCAAATAATGGCTTATGCAGCTGTCTTGAATCAGGTGCAGATGTTAAAGAAGTTTGTAACCCTGTGTGTAAACCCTCTTAATAAGCCGAATAAAAGATGTACCTTTTTGAATTGCCCCAGCTTGGTTCCTGGCCCAGAGGCAAGAAACCCGAGCTAAGCAACATCCCAATCCTCTTAGCTGCCAAAATAGTACAACACCACCTAAACAGCTTTAATTTCTTTCGTTTCACAGCATTTTTAACATTTCGTCGTAACTTTGTAATCTTCAAATCTGTCGGAATTATCACTATATAAAATATAACTCAAAACTATATATCTTCAAAAGGCGGAGGAAGATGTAGTGAGAACTATTTCTAGGGTCCTCAAATACAGTGAATATACATCAAATCTCTTCATGAACAAAAAGGCAACTGCTGTTTATGTCATCAACTTCAGCATATCTGCGATTCTCATGCCGTAAGCTCACTTTTCATCCACAGAGCTGTATTATGAGCATTATGGGACGAATCTCCATGTCAGCGTGTCTTCTTTTCTTTCTGCTCTTCGCACGCCACACCTGTGCAGAACAGTCCCGCATTACTGTTGTCAACGAGTGGAACACAGGCTTCACCGCCAAATTCACCTTCAGACTACAGTCCAAGGTTACTGACGGTTGGATCATCACCTTGACTTTCAGTAAACCAGCACTGAAACTCCAGACATGGATTGGTGATATAAAGTCTGTGTCTCCAGACCGCAAGCGCTACGTGATTACCAACAAACCGTCGCAAAAACAATTGAATGCTGGCTATGAGCTATCTACTGAAATCGTTTTAACTAAGCCTGTTGCGAACTCACCAGCTCCTGGCGGTGTGGCCTTATTCCAGAGGCTTGGTGCTGGCGCTGGGGGAGGAGCTGGAGGAGGCAACGCTGGTGGTGGCGGAGGGGGACACACAGGCGGTGGGGGTGGTGTGATAGCCAAACCGACTGCACCTCCAGCCCCAGGTCCGTTCAATTACAACGAGGTCCTCCGCAAGTCCATTCTGTTCTATGAAGCACAGCGGGCTGGACGTCTTCCCGCCACAAACCGAATCCCTTGGAGAAAAAGCGCGACTCTTCGGGACGGTGCAGATGTTGGAGTGGATCTTAGTGGTGGTTGGTTTGACGCAGGAGATTTCGTCAAGTTTGGTTTCCCTATGGCTTCAAGTGTAACAGTGCTAACCTGGGGTCTGTTGAACTATAAAGAAGCTTATATTGCAGCTGGGGAACTGAAAAGCATGTTGGACTGTATTAAATGGCCATTGGACTATTTCATGAAAGCGCACACCTCTAAGTTTGAGCTTTACGTACAGGTGAGAGTAGAATGGATTGCATCATCTACGCGTGAACTTCTGAAGGGGATTTCACCCAAATTTGGGAACACGACATTTGTTGCAAAGACTATATGGTTTGATGGTATTACATGGTATGCCGTATATTGATGTCCAGAATTTCCTTTTAATCAAAATTCATATACATGTAATTACCTTAACTTGGATCGAACTCTCAGCATGAGGAGCCGATCCATTGGCAAGCTGGTTTAGGCTTTGATCTGAAACCATAACCTGTTCGACGATTATTTTGTTTTTGTACGATTTCTTTACTTTTTAAATTGCTTGGCTGTTATCTTGCTTTGTTTCTTTTGTTTCGTTTGATTGTTTTGTTTTATTGTTGTTATCATTCTGGTTTGCGAGCGTGTTATTTCGTGGCTATCAATTAACTTATGAAGAATCGTTATACACTTTTGATCCCTTCTACTCTTTCTTCCCCCTTACAGGTTGGGGATGGTGTTAAAGACCATGAATATTGGGGCAGACCAGAAGACATGCATATGGCCAGACCTGCTCTGAAGATCACAGCTCAGAGGCCTGGATCTGACGTTGCTGCCGAAACAGCCGCTGCCTTAGCCGCGGGCGCTATAGCTTTCCGGAAGTCTAATCCAACTTATTCTAACCAGTTATTGGCGCACGCTAAGGGGCTTTACGAATTCGCAAGAACCTACCTCGGGAAGTACAGTGATTCTATACCCAGGGCTGCAAAATTCTACAAGTCTGGTGGTTATAAAGACGAACTAGTGTGGGGAGCTTCTTGGCTTTACAGGTAATCCACATTGAAGTCAATGGAGAACATAGTATACACAAGAAAATCAAATTAAGTTCATCCTATGGTCAGGAAATTAGAGACCTTTGACTCTTGAAATTTTGAGATGAAGAGAGCTTTATTGATACTAAGCGATTAAGTTTTTTAACTTATTTTTTACAAGTTATTCTCACTTTCAGAGCTACACGCGATAGGAAGTATCTTACCTTGGCGGAGTCCCTTTATAAAAAGTATTACCTCAGTTCATCTTGGGCTTTTTCCTGGGATGACAAGACTGCTGCAGTACAGATGCTTCTGTATGGACTGACGAAGAAGCCGCAGTATAAGCTGGCCATTCAGAAGTACCTTGCAAACTGGTTGCCTGGTAAAACTAATTTTCGATCTCTCATAGTATCCTGTAACTTACAGACTCTTAACAATATAAGCTTAGAAGTAGCTCTGCTCACCAAATTTGAAGATAAACTTTGCAAGTCTCATATAACGTAATCCTTTACCTCCCAAGAAGGAAGCGATAATTTCTCCTCACAATATCAACACAATATCAAGCATAGAAGTGATGAGAATAAAGAAAAAAATCAATAAGGGGATTATTAATTCATCCAATACCGTATTCTCCGAATTGATATCATGAGAATTGTATGGCAGAAAGTAAGGAGAATAACTAATGAGATCTTGGGAGTTAAGGGCTTAAGTTCCTCCAAAAATGTTTTAAATATACGAAAAATTTCTCCATGATATTAGCTTTTTTCATTTATAGTTTTTATTTTGATTTGTTGTTTTTGTTGTTGTTTTTATTTTTCCAACCATTTTTTGAGTTATCTCAGGCCCCTTTTGAAGAAGTGTCTAGCTATTACAGTCAACACGCTGGGGGCTTGTATGCCGTTTTCTTCAGTATGGGTCAAGCTTACCAAATAATCTATGCGTTAAACGTTCACCGTTCGGTCGCAAAACCTTAAATGATATATGAATGATCTAATCTCTGAATTTTTTTAATTTAACGCCGTTCGCTTGTCTTCTTTAAATCAGTAAGAAGCGTTTATAAGAATTTTTTTCTGAACAATACAACAGGTGGTTCCCTCAAACGCACTCCAAAAGGCCTTGTTTTCCGTGATGCCTGGGGAGCAAACCGATTCGCCGCCAACACAGCCTTCCTAGCACTGCTAGCCGCTGACCAGGGTCTCAACCCGACCACGTATCGTCAATTTGCAAGAAAGCAGATCCACTACATGCTTGGCGACAGTGGACGCAGTTATGTGGTTGGATTTGGGAAGAATCCTCCCCAAAGACCTCACCACCGCTCCAGCAGCTGTCCTTCAGCCCCTGCCCGATGTGACTGGGGAAACTATCACAACTCTGGTCCTAACGCGCATGTGCTGCATGGTGCCTTAGTTGGTGGGCCTGATCGCTATGACAACTTCAAAGACGATAGAACAGAGGTAAAGTACTCCGAGGTGGCTACCGATTACAACGCTGGGTTCCAGTCTGCCGTGGCTGGGCTGAGGCGTCTGCAGTTGTAATAAGTAGTTGTCACAATGATGTCTTTTCAATGGTGTCTGCCTTTGAAGCAATAATTAGATAAGTTGATTTTTCTTAGTCAAACAGGTATTTACCAAAATTGTTATAGAATGAATAAAACGAATCATTGAACGTCATATGATATTGCTTACAAATTTTCGAGGATATGTTATTGAATCTCTACATAAGCGATCCTCGCAGCTATGAACACTATCGAACTAGTAGTTGATATAAGACCTGAAAAAAACTCAGGCCCGTACTTGAACCCATGACCTTTACGATACCGGTGCAGCGCTCTACCAACTGAGCTAACAAGCCAGCTGGGAGCTCGTTACTATTTCGATCCGAAATTCATTAAATACTGTATTTTGAAGGAGAGGGCAAGGTCACTCTTATTTTTATGAGGGGGGCGGGGGGGAAAACCGGCTCTTGGTCGCCTGACAAATTTCCCGAGGAGCATTCGAGAGATCTGTGACCACTTACCCTTTTTTCCCATCATAATACGTCCCTTTTCCACATCGTGATGCATCTTGTCCTGACTGCAAATTCAGGTGTCAGACGAAACGTTCCAGTCGAGAAATGAGGGCTTCAGTAAGGTTTTCAGTGACGAAAAACAACCCTTCTTAGGTTACCTTCTGCTCAGTTGAATCACCTAGAGTTTTCTTCAATTCCACGCTGTCAAGTTTACATTTTGTTGGTGAAGGAAGAGTTACAAAGTAATTTGAGAAGAAAAGACTGCCTTTTTTCATCCCTCTCAGCTCAACCACAAAAGAGCATATTGAAGATGAACTTTTGACTGAAACAAGGGTTAAACCTTGGCACTTAATTAGACAAGAATAATAACAAATTTCAAATTACGCAGAGATGAATCCCCAAGAGATTCACATGTCAATTCCAAATTTTCAAATGATTGTTGTGAGCTGGCTGTACACCGAGGATGTAGCATGATCCATATTGTTCAATACTAGAAACATTCTTGCATCAATTTCGCCTCATTATGCGCAAAAGCCGCGAAGACTGTTGTTTCGCAGGTTCTCTTTTGTTAATTTTTTAAAGCAATTTGAGCAGATCGATGTTTGCACAGGCACGAAAGAAAGCTGGAAACTGTTGTTCTCTCCGCAATTTCAATTTAGATGAAAACAGTTTCTAACAAATAAAATTTTCTTAATTGACATTCAGGCAAATTAGGCGAAACGAAAGCAGAAATTATTTCAGACAGTCAAGCTAACAGAAAATAACAAGACCGACTACTTCAACGGATTGATACATTCAAATTTATTTTCTTATCATCACAAGTAAATAGTCCAGCAACAATTTTAATGAAAACGAATGAAAGAATGAAACGGGTACACAAAATGGATGATATATTTACGTGCTTTTTTTTGTTGTTGTTTCATACAGTAATTTACGAACGGTGGGTTATTGTAGTCGGAAAATAATGAGGCCTCTGAATACACAAAAACAATTACAACTACCTGAATTTGACGAATACATCGATGAAAACTGCTGACAAACGAAGATGCTTGTTATTATCATTTTTCATATTCACTAAAAAAAGTATGTTATGCACTGTCTTCCTTTAATTAAATTTCCGAAGAAGGAAAGAATTAAATATCACCCTGATGTTTGTCTGCTTTGCGATTAACCAATCAAATCGAAACATTTTGGTCGTACGTGACTCTCTTGTTTCCACTTTTGAAAAGCAACAACAATTGACTTCTCTAAAAAATCATAACTCGAAAACAAGTCGTTTACATCTGAATTACCAACATTTTAACGAAGAATAAGCATATAATGACCCAACTTAGAAATATTTGTTCGAAATATTTTTTTTCGCCCACAGGATCGCAGTCTTTAAAACGACTTAAAAACTGTTGTAATAATTATCATCCTCCGTAATATCTTTGCACATCACTGTACCGTGTTTCTAAGCTAGTTTTCCTAAGCATGCTGATCACAAATAAATGTGTACGCCACCTTATATACTGAAATCGTGATGGCGAGTAGCATGGCAGTGCTGTTGATCACCAGGGCAGCTGTTCGCGGAGTAGGCACGTTTCCGATATCTTCTTCCTTCGTCCATTCCCAGTTTACCCAAATTACGCGCTCTTTCCAGATGGATCGTGGCTAGATCTCTTCGTGGCTCAGTGTCTTTTTGGATACAGTTTAAATCGGATGAATTTCCGTTGATTTCAATACCTTGGGGAGGAAGAGAGAACTGACTTACTTTTCTCTTCAGGCCTTTCTCGTACATGCTTTGCCATACTGCATCCACGTCACCGCGATCAGGAGTTGATTTAGATTGATAAACACAATCCAGGTCCTGCACCGCTTCCTTCTCCCAGCTTAACATGGCGGTTGGCCTGTCTGCTATCGAAGTCGACATATCTGGTCTACACCGCAACTCGAGCTCTTCTGGTTCTGTAAACAAACGGCTTGAGTTTTAAATGAGTCCAATTGAATCGTTCGTGATTGGCTTGAAAATAGCTTCAATTAATTGTCTCTGTTTGTGTCACTTTCCTGAAAGCTTATCTTTCTTTTCTGGCTCAGTTCAAATCTTCTTTGGCCTCAAATTTCCGGGGACAATTCTGTTAATATATTTCCCGCCGGATTGGTATCAAATTCAGCGCTACTAATACAGCAATGTTTACCATTCGATTCAGCCGAGCGACTTAACCTGTAGTGAACATATCGGCTCGGTAAAGCGAAGATAATCTTAGATTTGAGGAAAATTATGGAAGTGATGACGTCCTAGGACAAATTCGAGTGAAGATCTGATTTCACCCCGAACTAATCTTGTGCGTGCACCAGGTTTCGAAGGTTATTGTGCTAGAAATGAATTATTTAGATGACATTAGCTTAGCTAATCAAAATTCTGTTTGTAAGAACAGAAAAGGCCTCTCTGTGGAGACTTCTTTGTCGCGAAATTTATTAGACTTTTTCTACTTCCCACTCTAATAAATGACAAAAGTACCGAAACATGAAAACTGTGTGGAAAATGTGGAAACGGTAAAAATCTTAGCGATAGTTTTCACTTAGAAAGAATAATTGTTTATCATTTCACTTTAGGGGTGAAACCCGCACGTGGTGAAAAGCTTTTGTCTTCGTCTTAAATGTAAACAATGCGTGACCGATTTGATGTCAAGGATATTACGTACGTTTAAGGAACACAAACATAGACGGCGCACAGTAAACATCACACACTAGTGTCATAAAAAATTATTCTAGATTTTACCGAAATGATCGAAGACATAGCGAAATCCGTAATTCCCGATTTCAGCACGTTTTGCGTGCGCCTTCAAAAACTGACAATTTTCTCGAGGAGTGTTTAACATCTTCAAACAGGCTTCCAACAATTTTCTTAACATTATTATTGACAAATATCGTCGATTCGCCGTCAGGCGTGCATGCAAGTTGGATTAATTTAACTGCATGCGAACATCCTCTCAGAGTGCTTCATTTCCCATCGCCTGACCAATTTTATTTTTTGTCAGTGAAAATTACAGTGGAAATATTCACCCGAAATGAATTGAAAACAAAACATCATTTTACTAAATACACGTTCCTTGCTGCACAAATGTTTTTTTTTTATCCCGAGTTCATTTTCACTTGGCATTGTACATTTAGAAATGAAGATGATAATTTTTGCTGTTGCCAGCTTTTTATCCTGTTTCATCTGTCGAGGCCGGTCGGCACACGAAAGAGCCAGGCTATATTCAAAATCTGTTCGTCCTTATTTTTAGTGCTAGATATGCAAAATATTTTTTCCAATAGACTCATTTGACAAATGAATTAAAACATTAATGTAAACTTTATGTATTTATTTAAACAGATTCTTTAAGCTAAATCAGTACACGACTCTATCCGTATATTCGTTTAAAGTACTATTTGATATAAATGTGACCGGAAGTCAAAACCGGCTAGCGATATCCACAAAATTCAAGAAATTTAATACCTTAAAAAAGTTATTTTCGATTTAGGATGAGCGATGTTTAACGTTGGATGTGCGTCGAAACTTCACCAGTTAAAGAACTTAAGTAGCTAGTTTTAATAGAAAAAATACGGAGTAAAGAAACATTAATCGAAGATTAAACGTCTTGATCTTATAGGACTTGCAAAGGTACAACGTACAGCTCGGGAAAAAAAATACAAAAATCACTTCAAACGTAGAGCGCAAAATGTGACTTTACATGCAATGCAATTTGCGCCAATGAAGACGAATTTGCAAACATACGCTAATGAAGAAGTGCCAAGCAACACTAACAACAATACATATGGAGAGGTGCAAAAATAATTATAATAAGAAAACTGGCCAGAGACGAAACACACTAAGCCGCGAAACATGCGAAAAACAAATCAGGGAAAATGTTTTCCGTTCGATCTTGAAATTGCCCGTAAAATGAATCTTTTCAGCGTTTTCGGCCCATCCTCTTCCGTACACCTTGCCGCTCGTGTTATCTGTCCTCATCCTTGAAACCATCCATCACTAGCTGTCTACATTTAAGTGCAAATACTTTGTTTCTCATTCACTTCGCAAGGGAAATGGACAACTTCCTTTTAGTCTGAAATCTTTGAATGGTTTTCCTGGTTGATTCCAGAAATCGACAACGCAAAATTTGATCGGTCATTTAAATCTAACCTGGCTCTTTTACAAGCTGCAAGTTACGTTCCGTTGTGGAAAAAGCTAAATTTCCCTACCTTAGCAAACTGTCATTAAAAAAAAAAAAAAAAAAAAAAAAAGACTGTCAACCTTCAAGAGATTAAAATTTCTTGCAACCACAAAATGGTCATAAAGAACGAAAAAAAATAATAAAACCTCGTAAACGTCAAAACAGCTGTTTCTCTGCGTGAATACTAATGTCTGCCGGAGAAAATTCTGGATACTTTTCTATCTATTCTCGTCACGTTTAGTAAGTTGCATATTTTCTTACTTAAATAGCACTAACTGACAACAAAAAGGAAAATTTGATAAGAGAGCAGCTTTCAGAAAACAAAAATTTCCTCAAGCATATAAAATCACGAGCACTTCAATTGTTCTCTCGTTTCGTAACAAAAG